CTCCCTCTCCCTTTCCCCCCTCTCCCTCCCTCTCTTCCTTCCTTCTTCCCTCCCTCCCTCCCTCTCCCTTTCACCCTCTCTCTCTCCCTGCCTTCCTCCCTCCCTCCCTTCTTCCCTTCCTCCTTCCTTCCCCTTCCCCCTCTCAGCTCTTAATATGATGCCAAGGATGTTTAGAGAGTGGAAAGACATACACTATCTTCACAGTCAGATAACTTTGGGATTCTGAGTTTTAACTCTTCCTTTCAAATAGGGGGTTTGGTCCATAGGTGATAAAGCTGTCACATAGGAAGAGAGAGACAATTTTGATTGCAACCACGATGACTCTGGGGTGGCTGCTCTGCACCCAGTGCTGGGATTTGCAGCTTTCTGTCCACTTGTGTGTGTGATCCTCATGGCCACTCCATGACACGGTGCTTTCCCAGATCTGCCTACTGGTGGGGAAACCAAGGATCCAGGAGATCGATGTGTCAAAGTCACAGAGCAGCTGAATGATAACCCAGGATTCAAATTCAAAATGCCCACTTGGAACCGGCCAAGCCTAGCTTTTCTCTGACAAGGTGACCCCAGCACACAGACCCCAGTCCCTCCTTACTCAACACTCTGAGTGCATTCCCTTCATAGGAAAAGAGATTACAGAGCACTTGGTGGTTTCTGAAGTAGGCATTAGGAGTGTGGGGGCCTTATCTCAGCTACTGCCCTGAATTCTAATCTGAGGCTCTTGGAGATTCCAGTCTTTTCTTGTCAAGAGAGTTTCCAGATACTACAGTGTGGCCCAGCCCAGCTGTTCTTTAAGTCCCTTCTCACATTGCCCAGAGCTCCACAAGAAAGGGCTCAGGAGGAAGAAGGTACCTGCTGGGTGCTGGACACAGAGCTGGGCACTCCAGATTTCCTAGAAGCCCTGTTAGGCAAGCATTACTATCCTAATTCACCAGTGAAGAGAGGCAAGCTCAGAGAGGCTTAGTAACTCACTCAAAGCTACACAGCCAGTACATGATTTTTCCTTGATCAAACAGAAGCTTGATCCATTGGAATCATCATCCCTCTGTAACAGAGGGATTCCTTAGGGTCCAAGAGGGCATCTAGAGGGTCCTGCCTACCATCCTTGCTCAGGACAAGGGTGGGCATCGTCAGCTTCCAGGGATCTACTAGCCTTCTGGGGTGCCCATATCACCAGCCCTGGGGTGATCTCTTCACTTTTCCCCACACAGTTCTTCCTCAGTTGGAAGAGATGGGACCCAGCCAGCATCATCTGCCCTCTCTGACTCTGAAAGTCCCTGGGGGCTGTATGGAGTGGAGGGGGCTCATGGGAGGCCCATGTTCTCAGCATAAAACTGAGGCAGGAAAGCCGGAGGAGATAACATAGCTGTGCCATGGGGGCAGCCACACCCAGCCTGGAACATTGTGGCACCTCTGAACTCCTCTGCTGAGAGAAAGTCCAGATAACAGACATGAGCCAGAGAGAGGCTGCATAGGAGGTGGCTTGGAATAGCCAAGGGCCAGAGAGAAAATGGGGGCCTGAGCATGGGATGAAGGAAGCTCAGGGATGGGTAGGCACTAGATGAGCCACTTCCAGCTGCTCAGAGCTGGGTAGGTCTGTCCCGTGCAGCTCCCAGCCTCTGACCAGGGATAGAAGGTACAGATGAGGCAGCTGGCCATGGGAGCCCAGCCAGGGCGGATGGGTCCAAGCCACAGCACCTCTTGCTCATGACCATCTATGTATTAGAGGGTCCCTGGCAGAGGTGAGAAAGGATGAGGCTGCACGGGAAGTAGCTAGGCAGTCCCTAGGATTCTGTGAGTGGTGGGAATGGAGACGGCGATGGATGGTTTTCGTTGGCATTCCCCATGTGCTGTTTAAGGTATTACTCTACAGAAACCCACTGTGCAGGGGAGACGTGAGAGAATGTAGGGGAAGTTTAGAGTAGATGTGGAGGATCTGGGCATTGTAATATACCCTGTCATATGGCACTTGGGAGATGGAGGCGGGAGGATAGTGAGCTCCAGGCCAGGTCCCTGGATGGATGGATGGATGGATGGATGGATGGATGGATGGATGGATGGAGCATTCATAGGACTTGCTGTCATTCTGGCCTGGGTCCACCCCAGCCCATCAGCTCAGGAGGGCTGAGGAGGATTCTTGTTTGCACTCTGTCTCAGCTCTCAGTCTTCTGTCCCCATCACCTCCCTGAAAAGCAGAATGGGAAACAAGGAAGAGTGAGCCAGCATGGTGTACCACGCAGGGAGGGAAACTCTGCTTCCTGTACTCTAACCACATATCTCTTCCCTCGTAGGTCTGGAAGAGATCAGGGGCCTGGTTCTACAAAGGGCTCCCCAAGTACATTTTGCCCCTGAAGACCCCGGGCCGAGCTGATGACCCCCACTTCCGACCGCTGCCTGTGGAACCTGCAGAGCCCCAGCCCCAGAGTGCTGAGGCCAGCCGCATCTACACATGGGCCCGAGGGAGAGGTAAAACTTCATTGCCCTCCACAGGGCTCCCTGAGCCCTCAGCCCCCTACCTGCACCCAAGCAGAGGCAATTCCCACCCCCTTGTACAGTGACTGCCTATACTACAGAGACACATCTGGAAGGTCATCTAGGGGCCAGTGTCCTGGTAGGACACTAACCTGGGGACAGGAGTACCATGAACAGCAAAGTGCATCTTTGCAGGAATGAGATGTCACACTAGAAGCTTTTGTCTTTTGTTTTTGTGTGGTGCTGAGGATAGAACCCAGGGCTTCAACACTAAGCAAGCATCTTCCCACTGAGCTGTCCCCAAACCTTAGGGATGAGATGTCAGCAGAGGTTTTCTAAACATCTTTCCCAGGCCAGCCTGCTGTGCCTCTCTCCCTCAGTTGTTTCTCAGAAAGGGAGACTCCTGACTCTGGGTCCTAATGAGCTGGGAGACTTGGTGCCTGGTGCCCTTGGTGTCTGTGGTGACCACCCAAAATGGGTGTGTCCCACTGTGGTGGCACCTGGTGCTGCAGAGGGCTCTACACTGCTCTTGTGCTGCTTTCAAGCTCCAGTTTGTCATGGTCTTTTCAAAGTCCCTGGTCTCACAGCAGGTACTGAGGGTCCTCAGAGCAAACTTTTAATAGCACAATTTTATAACCATGTAGCCAAAGGCCAAGGTTGTGGTGCAGATCTGGGGTCTAGGGCAGGCCCTTTCCTCCTGGGTCTGGCTCCTTCTGCCCTACAGTACCCACACTTCAGCCCAAAACTTAGTACCAGAGGAGCCTAAGTGAGACCCTGGCCAGAGGTGTGAGGGGTCACCAACTGGTGGCTCATCTTTGAGGACGAGGCCCCAAGATCACAGGCTTGGCAATTACTTTGAAGGAACTTTGGAAGACCTGTGGGAAGTGACCCTATCTTCAGAATGTCATGTGGACTGCTTTTTCTCATCGCAATGTTTGAGACAATAAAGTAAAGGTTATCAAACAGCAGGCCCCAGAAGGTGAACCCCCTGCAAGTCACCCTTGCAAACAGAACAATGTTAAGTGCTCACTGTCCCTCCCCAGTTATTTTTCTTTCATCCCTGTGTCACTTGGCCCTCTTCACAGTTGTCCCTCTGTCCTCTCATGCTGGCTCTCCCTGGCATGACTCAGTGCTATGGTTATCTTCCCTGGCATCACAGGTGAGCCTGTGTGGGGCCCAGGGCTAAATGCAGGTAGAGACTGGACACATAGTATCCTTGTGTTATAGGAGGACTAAGGGGATCAGCACAGTGGGGACACTGCCCCTCAGAGGTGCCATGGCTGCTGAACCTGAGGAAATGGTCATCTCCCATCCTGTCCCTCTCCCAGAGTGAAGGAAGGAACCTTGGAAACATGCAGATGGTGCATGTTCAGAATGTGGCTTTGAGTGGTTGTGGAGAGGCCTGAGGCCTTTGTGAGTAGCAGGGGTCACCACCACCCACCTGCTCCCTGTATCAGCACACACAGGCTCATAGGTGCACACACTCTCACAGGCACATATACACTCATAGGCACACACACACACACACAGACACATGTGCACACATGCTCACACAAGCTCTAGGCAGGACAGCCCCCCCCCAAGCCATGGAGACATGGATAGACATAGGTGAGGATTCCAGTACCCCACACTCTTGGACTCAGCATCATGTTAGCAGAGGCTCCCAACGGAAACTTGCTCTCCCTCTGAGGTAATGGGATGCAGCACCCTCAGGCTGCTGTGTTGAACCAGTTGGAGCCCTGTGATCCCCAGGTGACCTGATGTGTGAAAGCCCCCAGGCAGCAGGAGAGGGAGGCTTGGCTGTTGTGGTAGTAAGATCTGTGCCCACACTGAGAGGAGTGCCCTGGGGTGTGCGGTGCCTTGGAGGCGGCCAAGACTACCTTGGAAGAGGCAGTGGCTGAGGCAGAGACTGTAGGGCCTGGGAGAGGACAGCAGAGTTATTCCAGCTCACAGAAACCATGGTGCAGGGTTAACCAGAAGGGCTGCAAAGAACCAGATAGACTGTCTTCTAAAACTGTTGTGGCCCATTTCTGGGTGGCTTCTGTGCCCTCTCTAGTCAGACTGAGCTTTCTGGCTGAGGGCAGCCTCCTGGCTGCCTAGGTCTGGCCATGTACTCACAGGGTACAACCTGGGCTATTGCACCTATGTGGGACTAGATCAGTTGGTGTGTGGGAGCCATCCTTACCCAAGTAGTCTTGAGCTTATGGCCAGGATGGGGGATCCTCCCAACCCCTCTCTGCCTTCATGGTAGCTCCTGTGGCCTCAGGGTGAGGTTCACAGCAGCCCCTAGGCAGGGCCCAGTCACATCTGCCTCAAGGAAGCCTGGAAGCTAGCAGAGGCTGCTGTCACTGTCTCTGTTCCTGCTCACACTGACTCCTGTGTAGCTGTTGGGCTTCAAGAAGCAATGGGCCCTTATCAGGCAGCTGTGAGAGTGCAGCACAGAGCTTTCCTATCTGTCCAGTCCTCTGATGTGGTTCCCTGTGGTGGCTTCCTCATCCCCACCCCAGCTCACCATCGGGTGCCCAGGGGCCTGGCAGCTGGCTGGGCCCAGGGACATGGTTGTGACCCAAAGTAAGCTAGTAAGCTCAGGTTTCCCAGCACCACATTCAGGCAGACTGAGCTCAGGTGGGATCAGAGAATGACCAGCACTAAAGAGATTATCTCACTCCCCTGGAAGGTTGTGTGGCAGGGCCATGCCTCTCCTCAACAGGCCAGTACCTCAGCACTTACCATGTGTCCTAATTTGTTTCTCCATTGCTGTGACAAAACATTCTGACCAATACCAACCTGGGGAGGAAAGGGTTTATTCAGCTTACATCTCCCAAGTCACAGTTCATCAGGAAGCCCTGTCCTCAGGACAGGAACCTGGAGGCAGGAGCTGGAGCACAAGCCATGGAGTAATGCCGCTTACTGACTTGCTCCCCTGGCCCCTGCTCAACCTGCTTTCTTATGCAACACAGACCCACCTTCCCAGGTGTGGTACCACCTACAGTGGGCTGGGCCCTCCTACATCACTCAACAATCAAGAAGATGCCCAACGGACATGGCCACAGGCCAGTCCAATGAAGGCAATTCCCCAATTGAGGCTCCCTCAACCCAGGTGTGTCGAGTTGACACTAAAGCTATCCAGCACATCATGGGAGCAGCATGGAATAGATGCTCATTAGAATTATGAACACATGAGTGAGCCACACCCCTGAGATTTTAGAGGTTGTGGAGGGGCTTTCCTTACATCACTGGTGCCTCTGGTCCAGGGGCTGCTAGACAGGTCCAGGAGGCTATTAAACCACCTGCTGTCATGAGGAAGCTCTCTTCCTGGTCCCTGGCCTTCAAAGATAGCAGGGCCAACATCCTCCTGCCCACAGTTCCTCTCACACATGGGCCATCTCCTGCTTACATCCCAGCACACACACACACACACACACACACACACACACACAGAGACACACACACATCTCTACCCCTTTCCTTTCTTGTGCCCTGTTGGAAAAGCAAGGGTAACCAATAGGTATAGGCAGTGAACTTTCTTTTAAATTATAGTTATCATTTATGTGTATGTATGACGTGTTGTATGTGTATGCTGGAGGGGGGCACATGCCACAATACACATGTGAAGTCCAGAGGTCAACTTTTTGGAGTTGGTTCTCTCCTTTCACCTTATATAGGTTCCAGAGATTGAACTCAGGTCATCAGGCTTGTGCTGCAAGAGCCTTGTCCCACTAAGCCATCTCACCGGCCCCAAGCTGTGAACTTTCCAATCCACACAGCAATCTAGTAAATTAATCGATTTTTGTGAAGTGGGTACCTTCTCATTCTCCTCGATGTTTTTCTTTGCTTATTATTAATTCCATAAGAATACAAGTTAAAGGGGCTGGAGAGATGGCTCAGTGGTTAAGAGTATTGGTTTCTATTGCAGAGGATGCAGGTTCAGTTCCCAGCACCCACATGGCAGCTAACAACCATCTTTAACTCCAGTTCTAGGGGATCCAACACCCTCTTCTGTGGACATTGCACAACATGGGTGTGCTTTGCAGGCAAAACACTCATATACATAAAATAAAAATTAATTAATCTTTTTGGTTTTTTTGAGGCAGGATCTCCCTGTAGCCCCAGCTGGCCTGGAACCCACTATGTAGACCAGGCTGGCCTTGAACTCACAGAGATCCTCCTGCCTCTGCCTCCTGAGTGCTGGGATTAAAGGCATGTTCCACCATACCCAGCTCATAAATTAATTAATTTTAAAAGTTTAAAAAGAATATAAGTTAAGGGGGCTGGAGAGATAGCTCAGTGGTTAAGAGTACTCACTGCTCATATGAGGACCCAGGTTCAGTTCCCAGCACCCATATGGCAGCTAACCATCCATAACTCCAGTTCCAGGGAATCTGATAGGTTCATGCCCTCTTCTGACCTCCACGGGCATTGCACACATGTGGTATACTTACATACATGCAAAACACTTATACACATAAAATAAAAATTGATTAATTAATTAAAGATTACAAGTTAAATAACTAAACAGTGAATGAAAACTAGTAACCTCTTCATTTGCCCTTACTCTACAGCTCACAATCAAACATCTACTTATTTTAGGCAGTTAAAGTTTGGTTTGCTTTTTTTCACAACAAAAACACATGGACTCTTGCCTGTGACTGTTACTTTTTGCTGCTGTTGCTTTTAGAAGCATATCATGGGCATCCCTCCAGGCACTGGATCTGAATCTTCATTTTAGTGCTGAATAGAACCCTGTGGACAGTGTATCATGTTTTCATTACTCTCTGTTGATGGACATTCCTGTTGTTTCTAGTTTTTACCACCTCAGACAACACTGAAATGTTGTCTACAAGCTGAAGCTTCATGTCTGTGGGGTAAGTTTCCAAAAGTAGGGCTGCATGTGTGTTTCCAACTCCAGCAGACCTTGCCAGACTATCTTTGTTTAATGACCCAGCCTTTTCCACACCCAGCAGTCAGGCTGCACGTCCTTCCTTACTCTTGCT